GTGGCCTTGAACAAAGATGCACGACAAAGCAAATTTGGGCACCAGCTACGATTCCTCCACAATGCTGCTGACGAAACTAATTTACAACATTATGTTCATCGACTAGAACAAAGGTCCCGCAGATGACTACTGTCTCTAACCCCAAAGATTTTACCCTGTTGCATCTGAGAAGTAGAAATCAGGACCTTGTACGTGAACCTATTGTTTGAATGGAATGTCACTCCTAGCATTCACCCAGTGACCTTGGTGTTCATTGCTTATTCATAAAAATGCTCACTGCATTGTGAGAATTGCACGTTCGGCGGATTATTCAATTCCCATAATCTACAGCACTTTATTTTTCACCTACTGCTTTCAAGTTACACGCCCTACGCCGTCGCTTTACAGCGGCCGCGTTGATGAAATTGATAAGACTGTCTATAGGGCTCGCCTTTGTCTTCTACCTATAATAAATATACTATTTTCATATTTTCAGTAGCGTGATTGTCGCGGCGACAAAACTGGGGAAAACGTTGGAATATCTGGCTGTTGAAAATATGAATGTAGCTTTTTTATTATAATTGACAGACATCCTAATACTAGATCAAGAACGTGTACGTCTGTTACCCAGCTAGTTCAGATCGGCATCAAGCTTGCTAACCAGGTATCTTCGGTATTCACTGCTGAATGACGACGGGGCTTCGAAACAGATGTTAGCTCGCTCGACGGCCCTCAAAGAGAGCTGCAGCGTTTTTTTTAAAATCTGCAATACTGCTAGGCAGAGAGCGGGCTAATTGTAATCCTCAAATTGTGCGTCTCTGCATCCGAACTGGATGACCTAACTTTCCGGACTGACAGCGGCTGAATATACCTCAGTTGGAGGATCAATCAAAAATCCACGAATGATATTCTTTTTCCAGGCCTGATATATTCTTACTTCGAAAACCTTAACATCTATACTGCATCAATATTATTTCCTATTTGTGATGTTATTGTACCTTTCAAGGCAGTTTTATACTTAGAAAAAACTCCGTACCTTGCAAATTATTGACTAAGCATAAAACTAAAAAAACCAATAATGACTGTAAAAGAAGGGGTTTGTTTTAATTTTTTCCTGTTTTCCAAGGGTTGTGACGGTCCCTAAAAAGTGCCTTACCAATAAACCTTATTCACCTACTACAGAATATTTAACGCAATCACAGGTTTACAAAATTGGACTAGGTTGCGCGCCATCGCCACGTGTGGGTGGAAGGATATGCAGATTAACCATGCCAAAACTCTTACATTCCACCTAAATCGTGGCCTACCGAGTTTGGCTTCGTGTGATCCGTCAAACGGCAACAAATTAGCACGACAAAGTTACGTTTTCCTAAGGCGGCGAACGTTGTTTTATTCCAAAATAACTTTCTCGACGAATATCGCGCCAAATTTTTCGTCGCAATCGTGATCGTTAATAACCTTGGTCAATGAGACAGCAGCTGGGTCCGCTGACTTCGGCTCTTACACCGAGGACTTGGAATTAGAAAAATGCAAACCGAACTTCTGCACCACGGAATTGAGCTTCTTGTTGCAAGATAGTCAGGAATTGCTCTGCAAACACCAAGTTGATGGAATGTTGCCCAGGCCTACCTGTCGCCGTTAATTTACGCCTCCTTCTAATCTCCTAAGAAAGGTCACAGCAACAGGACGAAAAAGTGAAAGATTTCTGACTTACCTAGTTTAGAATATTTAACGCAAGGAGAACTTTAAAACATCAGCCTAGGTCGCGCAACTTCGTCACATGTCACGGATGGATATCGTGGCATAAGAGCGACTTGCCAGGGCTTTCTGCTCGGGCATCGGTTGGGGCGGTTCCTTAAAGCCTGAACGTCGGTGAGTATCAGTAGGCAAATTGCTCTTTCATTTTTACCGATCCTCCAGATTCCGAAGTTGGCAAGGTTCTCGACTTCTCAAAACCTTCTCTTGACATTCTCACAGTGCCCCTCATGTGCACTCTGACTCCCCATCCTCATCTCGGTATCTACAGA